GGAGCTCCGGGCCTGGGGGTCGCGCGGGGCGCTCTCCGGGTTCCGGGGCCGCGCGCCCTGCGGCGGCCGGGATGGAGGAGCCTGGGGCAGCAGTGACCACGGCCGGGGAGGCCGAACTGAACTTGTCCCGTCTCAGTGTGTCCCCCGAGACGCTGGAGTCGGAGTTGGAGTCGCGGGCCGAGGAGCGACGCGGCGCGCGGGAGGCGCTGCTGCGGTTGCTGCTCCCGCACAACCGTCTGGTGTCGCTGCCGCGGGCTCTGGGCAGCGGCTTCCCGCACCTCCAGCTGCTGGACGTGAGCGGCAACGCGCTGACCGCGCTCGGGCCCGAGCTGCTGGCGCTGCGCTGCCTGCGCACGCTGCTGGCCAAGAACAACCGGCTCGGCGGGCCCTGCGCGCTGCCCAAGGGTCTGGCCCAGTCGCCTCTCTCTCGCAGCCTTCAAGTGCTCAACCTGAGCGGGAACTGCTTCCAGGAGGTGCCCGGCTCGGTGCTGGAGCTGCGCGCGCTGCAGACCCTCAGCCTGGGCGGCAACCAGCTGCAGACCATCCCGGCTGAGATCGAGAACTTGCAGAGGTGAGCGGGTCCCCGCCAGAGACACGGGAGGCCTGGAGCGGTGTCCGGGAGGCCTGGGCGCCGGGCCTGGTCTTTGCGCCCTTCAGTTGTCACCTAACCGCCTTCTTCCAGGCTCTCCCTTTAACTCTTGGGCAGTACTACCCGGCCAGCTCAGCGAATATAATAAGATAGTGTGTGACAGCAGATTTTCCAGGCAGTTTTTCTGTCTTTCTTGGATGTAAGGGAGTGATCCAAACTGAGAGCTCCTCAGACAAATGTAAATGTCACTTTCTTGCTTTGTAGCCGTTGGTGGTTTTCCACGTCTATAAATCAGCGATTTTCAACCTTGTTCATCTCATGGCACACATCAACTAATTACTAAAGTTCTGTGGCACACCAAAAAGTACATATTTTTGCCAACCCGACAAGAAAAATAAGTATAATTTTGATTCATTCACACCGGATGGCTGTTGCTGTGTTGACTGTTGTTATTTCATTTGACAATCTAAGGGAAAAGTGGTCAGTGCCCCTGGCCAAATAGTTAGGTATTGCACGTTTTAAAAATTCTTGCGGCACGCAGGTTGAAAACTGCTGCTTTAGATCAAAGTTTATGCCTTTTAGCAAGACATACAGGGTACACTGATCTGAACCTTGCCTTCTAGGACATTTACTGCTCCCTGTTCTCTAGCAAGAGCAATACCACAGTCCCCCATTATAGGGTATGAGGGGGGGAGGCTATGATTTCAGACCCCTAGTGGGTACTTGAAACCAGTTTTCTTTCTTTACTGCTTCCTGGACAGCAAATAATTTATTACTTATTCTGTACCTCATCCCCCCATTGCATTTATCCTATTGATTATAGTTCCTTGTTTACAGGTCTACCTCACCTAGATTATTCGGTTAATATATTAATTAAATGGAAGGCAGAAGCAGAGACACAGGTATCAAAAGTCCCTTAAATGTGCTGTGCAGGGAAGTAAGAAATAGAGCAAGAGCAAGTAGATTGTCCAAAGTGGAAAAAAAGTGTCTTTCACCTGTAACATATTTTCGCAGCCTTCATTGAATTTTCTGAGATAACAGAATGTTAGAGCTGCGAGGGATCCTAGAGTTAATTGTAGTGAAAAGAACATTAGCCTGAGAATAAGAGCTCTTGATGTCCCAGCCTTAGGCAAGTCACTGAACATATCCTGACTACAGCCTCCTAATCTGCAAAGTTGAGGCATTTGGACAAGATGTCTCTTCATTTACTCATGCCGTCAACAGATATTTCCTTAATACCTACTATGTGTCGGGTGTTGGGGATACAGTGGTGAACATGATTCTGCCCTCATGAAGCTAACATACTACAAATGAGAGACATTAAACCTCATTATTTAATTACAGTTGTTATAAGTTCTATGAAGACATACAGAGTGCCTTGAAATGAAATAACAGAGAGACCTGACTTAGTTTGGCTCTTGAGCAAGTAACATTTGAATTGAGCTTTTGAAGAAAGAGAATTAACTAGGAGAGGGTGAGGTGGGATCAGCCCAGGTAGAAGGAACACACAGATGAGAAAGCCCAGCAACAAGAAGGACTGAAGGCCAAAATTTTGAAAGGAGGACATTGTATTAGAGCATAGTGGGAAAGTGGCAAATATATTTCAACCAGACCTCAGGCCATGTCAGATCTTGAAGGCCTTGGTAAGGTTTCAATTCTACATCCACAGAGTTTTAAGCACATCTGTCTTGCTGTGTAAGAATGAAGTGGGGGGAGGGGGGAGAGATAAGAGATTTTGAGGGCTGGTTAGAAGGAAGCTATTATAGTAGAATTAGAGATGGTGGTTGCTTATATCAGGGTGATGCTAAGCATAAGAAGTAAAAGGGTTTAAAGAAATTTAGATGCAAAATTGGCAGGCCTTGGTTCCTTCTAATTTTGGTGTTACATAATTCTAACCTCATTTGAATTTTCTCAGTATACTAAGAAAAACTCTGTTACATTCTATTTATCATCTGGTCTAGTCACTTCTTTTGTAAGATATCAATTTATGTATTGCACACTAGCTTCCAAAACATTCCAGGGCTTTAATATTTAGCTTCTGTTTCTTTCACAGTCCTCTTATCTTCATTTTCTAAAACCACATCACGCAGACACTGACAGAAGGGTCATGAACTGAAAAAGGAAAGAGAAACAAAACATTTTCTACTTATATCTGTGATTAAAGTTGATTGACACAGAGGGACTCTACTATAATTTTTTTCAATGGGTCATTGGCCTTTGCTAGAGAAAAGCCACGCATTTCAGTATTGCTAAGGATTGAAGAAATGGGATATTTTTCAGGAAGCAAATCTAAGATTGGTCTGTTAATGATAAACAGAAAGGAAAGGAAGAATTCTATAAATTTCGTGAATGGTTTTCCTATTTTCTATATTTGTCAAACACTGAAAGAATAGAATTGTTCCAGGCCTGATTAACAGGTGTAATGCTGACAAACAAGAACTTTTAAATACTACAGTTTTGCTTTAAATTCAATAATAGTTTCCTTTCTCTTTACAGAAAAGCATGTTTAGAAACAGTAGAGTATGTTTTAGAAATTTAATTCCCACAAATCATTTAAGGGCTTCAAGTCCCTAGAACTTTGGGAATTATTTGAATTTCAAAGTGAGAAATAGGCCAGAAAGTGTAAATTTACTATGCTGGTTGTATAATTTGATTAATGATACCCATCAGTTGCAAAAGAGAATTGATTTAATTTCGAAATCATGGGCTTGGTTATATTTTAGAACATCAGATCCTTCTCTGCCAAGTCACACTAACTACTAAGGTTTGACATCCTTTGTCTGTATGCCTTCCCACCCACTCCAGAACATGGAGAGAAAAACACCCTGAGTAGTAAATGAACACCAGACACTAATTTCTCTAGGTTCCTGACTTAAATAGAAAAGACAATATTTAAATTTGCTCTCACTCACTCTCCCCTCTATTCACTTTCTTTTCTCCTTCAGTAGACTTAATGGAGGTGGTTATTTAAAAAGACTTCAAGGTTTGCCAATATTTTTCCCAGATAGTCTTCTCAAAATAATTCTTTTTCCAGGGTAGTTTCAGTTTTGGGGCCTCCAAATAGTCTTATCTAATTCTGTTCTTATTCTATTCTAGTAGCTCTCATCATTGAAAAATAGAGATTTCTGAATAACTGAGCATTAACTTAGACCATTTTTGTTAAGACCAAAAAATCCTGCCTAGGAAGTTTTTAAACCAGTGCTTAAACATTTACATGTAGGAGAATTCAGTCTTGTATACAGACAATTGATTTTTGATACAGGCAATATTTGAAAGACAAAAAATAACATATTAAAATTAAACTTATCTGCTTTTACCAAGCCTTATAAATATTAAAAGTTTACACAATCAGAAATAGAAAAAGAGTATCATTAATATATTTTTTAAGTGACAGAAGTCTGAATTACCTCACATCAAGGAAGACAAGATTATGAAGTACAGACAAATTCAACAAATGGAAGAAATTATACCTAGAAAATACTTGTAATAAGGCATCTACAAAGGACTTTTAAATAAGCATGTTTCCTAACTTCAGAGAGGTAAAGGAGGGAATTCCATCATTGTAACAAGAATAAGAAGTTTAAAAATTGGCAGTTATGAAAACCCCAATTAGAATTCCTAGAAATGAAAAAATATAATTATGAACTCAATAGGCCAAATGGTAGCTTGTAGCACAAAAACATAAAGAAATGGAAAGTATGAAAGAAATGTTAAGAGACATGGAGAACTAATTCTGAAGTTCCACTGCTATTTACTAGGACTTCTAGACAGAGAATAGAGAGCATGTAGGAAAAGCAATGTTTGAAATAACAGTGGTTGAGAATTTCCCACAATTAAAAAGAGTACTTTAAAATGGTATCTTGACACATGATAAAATTTCAGAACAATAAGGTTAAATAAAGAAGAAAGATCTTAAAAGCTCCTAATAATTTAAAAAAATGCAATGGAACAATATTTTCCTAGCCCCAATAAAAGTAACAGTCAACCTACAATTTAATGCCCAGCCAAGCTATGTATTACTCAAGAGTGAGGGAAAAAATAAAAATATCAGAGACAAAGGACTCAAAGATTAGTAACCATGGTGGGTCCTTTCTGAAAGAATCTCTAACGGATATACTTGAGTTACATTCTAGAACAGCAAGTTTCAACCTTTCCATCTCATGGCACACACAAACTAATTTCTAAAATCCGGCAGCACACCAAAAAATATATTTCTTGCCGATCTGACAAGAAAATAGGTATAATTTTGATTCCAATATTCACACCGGATGGCTATTGTTGTGTTGGTGGTGTTATTTTTTTATTTCACAGTCTAAGGGAAAAGAGATCAGTCCCCCCAACTAAATAGTCAGGTATTGCATGTTTTAAAAATTCTTGCAGCACAGGGGTTGAAAATCGCTGCTCCAGAAGGGTAACTTGGCTGCTGTGGGGAAAATAGCTGCTGATGTGAGAGGGGAATGTGATGGGAAGAGTGGAAGCAGGAAGAGCAGACTGGAGGCGAATGTGGTAGTCCAGATATGAAATGGTAGAGATTTGCTTGGTACACCTTTTTCTGTCCCTTTACTTTTAATGTATTGGGGTATTTCTATTTTAAGTGTAAGTCTTGTAAAAAAGCGCACAACTTGATAAAATTCCAAGTCCTTACCGAGGTCTGAAGGACCTGATCTGGCCTTCCTAGGCTCGCTCTCTGACCTATGTGACTATCACTGCCCCACCTCTGTCTCCTGATCTACCCACAGTGGCTGTGTTGCTGTTTTATAGCATAAGCATTTTTCCACTTCAGGGATTTGTTCTGAGTCATTTCATTCAGATCTCTGTTCAGATGTCAACCTCAGGAAACGTTTTATGGCTATCCTGTCTAGAATATCACTTTCATCAAATCTGATTACCTCCCTTTTTCTTTATAGCACTTAAAGCTATATAGCAAAATATATACAGTTTCGTTGATTTATTGTCTGTCTCTCTCACTAGAATGTAAGCTACTTAAGGTCAAGTACTTGGTCTTATTTCCACTATATTCCCTAGAAGGGTGCATGTTAGGTGTCTGGTTCATATTTGTTGGCTAGGCACTTTACATGTAATATAATAACATTATTGCATTAAAAAGAAGAGGAAACGAGCATAATGAGATTAAGTAACTGGCCCAAATTTTTACACTGGTAAGTAGTAGAGCTAGGATTAAATGAAATAAATTGTAACAGAAATAAAACCAGCAGGTAGTGTTGATAATATCACATTGTTTGCGGGTAGATTTTATTGCGCGCTCTACTACCAGTCAATGTAAAACGTATAAATACGTTTCCCGCATACAATGTGGTATTATCTAATATTGGTGTGTCTTGTACCTGTAATATAAGCTCCCTGAAGATTACCGTATTTCTGTAGAGACTGTATAGCACACAGCACATCCTAAGTAAAACATTTGCTGAGTGTTCATTGTAATAAAGGCAGTGGGGTGTCTTATCTAGCTTTGGTTTGTTTACTTTTTGTTTTTATTTATTTATCTTTGCAGTTTAGAGTTTTTATATCTTGGAGGAAACTTCATCAAAGAAATCCCACCAGAATTAGCAAATCTGCCTTCTCTAAATTACTTGGTATTATGTGACAACAGAATCCAAAGTGTGCCTCCTCAGCTTTCACAGTGAGTAGTTTCAGGCAATTTTTTAATGTATATGTAGAGATACACGCTTAAGAATTATTGTTTTGGCATTCACCCACATGTTTTATATGTAGAAAAGAATTAGATGTTACATGAGAATTACAGTTCTGAGTTTTGTTTATTTTTAATGTTACCTTTAAATGCTCTGGTTTATTTCTCACAATATTTGTATAGCTTGTTTTCTGTAGTAAAAAATAGAGTATTCATTTGGCAGAGATTTCCCAGGTTTTATGGGAGTTTGTTGGTTTTATATTTGATATGAAGCATTCGTATCCTAATGAGATAATGTGAAGGATCTTGATTCCTGTTGTATTTAAAATATATATATATTTCTTTTGGCTATCCAAATGATAAAACATCCCCCCCAAACCTTTAAATCTAGCATTTATATTTCATTTAGCACATCAGAATACTCTAAGTATTCTAAACTCCCCAAAATTCCATGAGCAAAATCCCTTCATGACATTTACAAGTCTGCGCTCTGACCTAGTTTCAGCACTTGTAAATTTTATTTTCGTTGACATCTTCATTAGTCATTCTTCTGGGGGAATCAAGTTCTTCACTTGACTTGGTGGTAGTCTTGCTTACTGTCGCTGGCTTTTGTGCTGCATTCATTCTAGGTTGCATTCGCTTCGATCCCTCAGTCTTCACAATAACTTGCTGACATACCTGCCTCGAGAGATCCTCAACCTTATTCATTTGGAAGAATTGAGTTTGCGAGGAAATCCGTTGGTTGTGCGTTTTGTTAGAGATTTAACCTATGACCCTCCAACTCTCCTGGAATTAGCTGCGAGGACCATTAAAATTCGAAATATTTCCTACACTCCCTGTGATCTTCCTGGGAATCTTCTTAGATACTTGAGTTTAGCCAGCAATTGCCCAAACCCAAAGTGTGGAGGTAAGTTTAATTTAGTGTTCTTGTTTCCCATTCATTTAGCTGTTTTTAAAATTGATGATCTAAGTGTTGTTTTCATTAGCTGTTTTCTTTCAGAGAAAGGCAATTAGTCTGTTTCTCTCATCCTTTCATGCTTTCACGAGAAACTAAGACGTTTTACTCTCTCTGGATTTCTGTTTTCCTTTTCTTTCTATTCTTTTCATAGTTCTTTATGATTCATACATACAAGGAAAACACCCAGAAAGTCTCATCCTGTTTTGGAACTGCCGTAGGATTTGTAAAATGAGAGGAAACACAAAAGAAGCGTGACGGTCCTAATTGCTTAGAAAGAATCTCTAAAATGTTTAGCTACCTTTCATACTTATTTGAGGGACATGTTTTTAGAGTCATCATTCTGAGTATCAGGTACCTTTACTCAGAGTATGATTCAGGATATATGAGAATGGGCAAAATGTATGCCAATTTCAGAATGTACCCTGGAATTTTATATTCTTTTAAATCCATGGTTCAAAATTTCTTCAGTTTAGAGCATATGGAGAGAATTAAACAAATGCTATAATGTAAGGCAGAATGAAGTAGGAATTCAGTATAGTATTAGAAATCAAAGGAGGGAGAAAGTACATTTAACTAGATCTGGAAAAGATGGAATGATTCTTGAAATATGAGTTGGATTTTGATAGGTTAAGATTGAGGATAAACTTTTCATATGGAAAAAGTAAAATTGGAGATAAAATAGCAGTATGGGGCAGAATGTTGGCTGAGTAATAATTTGGCTCAAAACTATAATTAGGGGAGTAATGAGTGAAAAGAGTTTATAAAAGATACATTAAGACCAGCTTATGAAAAGCCCAGAGTGCCAGGGGGTGAGGGTGGGAGTAGGTGACTGGCAGCCGGTTATTTTATTTTGACTCCTTCATAAAAGACTTCTTTAAAAACCCAATTTGATGGCGGTACAGGAATTTTTTTACTGTTGTCCGATAAATGTAGGTGCTGAGGAAATGATGCATAATGATGATAAGAGATTTTCCTGGAAGCCCCATCATGTCTTGAAACCATTATAAAGTTTAAGAAGAAAATGATTTAAGTTCCTCAGAGAATATCAAAAAAGAAAAAAGACACTATTGGATTAAAAAGAACAACACTCTGGGCCCTTTCTAGACACTCACTCTTAGAAGTAGAGGATACTGTGCTGTGCCAAATTAGAAATACTTAACACTCTTCTCTGGTTCTCTTTCCTAAATTGGCTTTAACAATGGCCAGGGACACATTCACAGCAGACTTTCAGGTTTAACAGTCTTTAATCTCTTCATTAAATCTCTCCTTTTCTGCAAATGGACCTCTACAAGAATTCTTTACTCTTAGTTGTTTCTGAATTACTTCTTCAGTATGCTGATGTGTTATTTATCTTAGGAACAAAAATACATTTAAAATTATTAGTTTAAAATTTGAGATAATATATAAATAAACCATCGACAATTTTTTCTCCTCAGACTCGTTATTGAACTCTAAACAAAAGTAATTTTATATTTTGTGAGATATTTTCTTTTTTCTTTTCTTTTTTTTTAATATATCTTTATTGACTTCAGAGAGAGGAAAGGAGAGGGAGAGAGAGAGACAGAAACATCAATGATGAGAGAGTCATTGATCGGCTGCAGCCCGCCACCCGGGCATGTGCCCTGACCGGGAATCAAACCCCGATTGCCTGGATCCCAGGTAGACACTCAACTGCTGAGCCACGCCCGGCTGGGCGAGATATTTTCTTTGTATAGTCTGAGATCTTAAAAATGACAAGATAATATTGTACTATTTTAGCTCATGGTTACTCTATACTGCTTTATTTTGTTACTTCCACCTGTTTTCAGGAAGCTAACACATTTTGAGGGTATTATAAAAATATTCATTGATCAGTTTATTGAATTTATCTACTTTCCTAAATTGTTCAAAGTAATATACCTTGAATTTCCTTTCTTAAACTATGAGTTATACTTACTATAGGATCAAAAAAATTAGAAAGTTAATGGGGAAGTATTAGGAAAAAAATTAATAGAAATTATTTCTCCTTTGTTTGGACCACATCTTTTTATTTTGGTCTTTTATGTGACATACACAGAGTAGTTGGTGCCAGAGGAAACTTAGGTAAGGTATAGAGGTTAAGATTCCTCTCTAGAGAGGTAATAGGACCCAGAGTTCTAGATGTTCCTCTTGTCCTGCAATCATTGTAACAGCCTGGGCTAGGGATGTACAGTATCTTTAAGGATCATCTAGAACCCTGAGATATAGCAACCTCTACTTTTCTTTCAGCTCTAAATGTATTTTTACTTGGCTCAAGGGCCACAGTTCAAGAGTACTGTGAAATCAAAATTAGGAATCAAAAGAGCTAAATACTAGTTTCATTCTACCTAACAATATATAATTCTGTGAAAACCCTATGAGACCATTAATGAAACAGCTTTGAAGCCTGTAGACTTAGAACCTGTGGAAATGTAAGGTAGCATTTTGTTTCTTTTCATTTTGCTTCTCAGTACATAAGAACAGGAGTACCAAAGTTGTCTCCTTTCTGCAAATTTTGAAGTTTTGTGGGCTTTTTAAAGTTTCTTGACTGTAGAGTAGTACTAAGGAGTGGCTTGGTTGATGGAGGGAAGGGTACTTTAGGTATCCTATAATCTCTATCAGCCACTATCCACCAAATCACCCAGGGAAAACAAGCTAAGTAGTGTCCTTTTAATACCAGCTCCCTTTAAGATAAATCTCCTGGCCTTCTCTTTGCAGCCAAATCGCTATAAATAGCTGTAAACAGCTATAGAAACATCTACTAGTTCTGCTTACGATTCACAAAAGAGAAGACTGTACATGATGTTGCTTTAGAATGCTGGAGAAATGGTTGCAAAAGAAACTGACTCTCTGCTTTGTAATAATTACTTTATACTTATTCCCCCTCCTCTCCAGGAGTCTACTTTGACTGCTGTGTCAGACAAATCAAATTTGTGGACTTCTGTGGGAAGTACCGCCTCCCCCTGATGCACTACTTGTGTTCGCCAGAATGCTCTTCGCCCTGCAGTTCTGCCTCTCACAGCTCCACGTCCCAGAGCGAATCTGACTCAGAGGACGAAGCCAGTGTTGCCGCACACAGAATGCAGAAAGTCCTTCTTGGCTGAAGAGAGTGCAGGGTGGAACGAAACACTGAAAGACTGAGGAAAGGTGGTTAGGAAAGGAGGAGACTTTGAAGTTCACTAGAAACATTATCTTCACCTTGAATGTCCATGAAAGAGTCAGAGGTGATGTAAAAGATTTTATGTTTCATTTACTCATTCAGCAGGAATGAGTCGTTTCATGTTTGGGTTTTTTTAATGTAATTCACTCTGAATGGCAGTTTTGAGTTGGCTGATTGTTTGCAATTTTCACTCAAGTGTTGTATAACTCTCACAGCAGACTAGAACATTCTGAAAAGTAGTGCTATGATAAACCATGAGTGGCGACAGTTACGATGAAGAGAGAAATGCTCAAAGCTGTAATCATTACCAGAGTTGTCCTTGGGTTTAGGGGAACACTGTACTATAATAGGATTACCCTCCTTTTCGTATATTATTCATGTGTCAAAATTACAGAGCTGTTCAGATAAGCTCACAGATGGTTACATAGGACCTAAACCTTTCTGACCTACTAACTGGTAAAGCAGGGATATAACTTTATGTGGGATTTTAAAACTCTTCATTTTTGCTCCTTTATTTTATATGATGGTTGTTACCCTTAGGTAATCCACAAATGGCTGTTATAGTGCCTTAAGTCCTAGCTAGGATTTAGAAGTTTATTCAAGAAATGATGCCAGAGCAGCCTATATCCTGTCATACTATGCAGAACACTTGAAATATGCTTTAACAGAACTAGGTAAACAACTATGTATCTGACATCTGAGCTCATGGCCACCTTAACTTCATTTTTTGCTTAAACATGAAGTAATCCCCCTAGCAAATCACTTTTACACTTAATGGGAGGCCACAGTCTTGATCAATCTGTTCATCATAAGAGAATAATAGTTTTTGATTGAAAAATCAGATTTCTTTTGACAGAAAAGAGAGGTAAGCTAAGAAAGCTTCTTTATATCTTATATTAAAGGAGCGGGAAAGTGATTTAAAAATTTTAATAGTCATGATTCCATTGCCTATGTGTACTAAATTGTAACTTTCTCTACATTTTAAAGAAACACTAGAAAAACATTACAACAAACCAAATAAAATTTGGGGCAGCAGTCATTGTGTTTGTACACAGTAGAACAATTTTCAGAACCAGTTTAACCATGGGATATTTTTTGAAAATAATGTATTGATAACATAAAAAATTATTAAATAATCCTTAAAGTGCAGCAGAAAAATGCTTTCAGATTACTTTCTATTAGAAATGACCCAATTTTTTTTTATTAACTAGCTTAATATGCAATAAAAGTTGAATAATTGTCCACTTACAAGTTGGTAGTATAAAATAAAATACACAACACATACTAGCAATCTTAGATCATTCACCTATAATAACTTGATTGTTTGTTGGTAAGTGTTACCTATACAGTAACACGCAGGTCAGAAATGCATTGGAACAGGAGATGATCTCCCTTCTGACTTGCTGGCATTCGTGAATGGACACATCATTTCTTAAAACATTGTTTTGCAATAATTATATGTATATGTATTAGGTTTTTGTCATATATATTATTTTTTATTTTAGAAGAATATACTGTAGGATGGTTCAGTTTTTGTCTGTTTATTATATGTTAGTTCATGAAACATCATGAGAGTTTCATGACTGCAGTTGTGAAACGCTGCTATAAAGAAAATCCCTTCCCCTTGTTATAATGTAGTAAGATTCTTTTTTCCTTTTGATTCAGAATTTTCTGTCTTTGGAAGTAATCTAGTATATTTCTGCTGCCTAACAAAGTAGTATATGGGTGATTATATCTTACAATGGAAGTAATAAAAAGTCTTTGTTTACTTCTCCTTTTGAGCCACAGCAAGCTACATACTATAAACTTATAAATGGTAAAGATGACTTAGGCAGTGCCTAAGTGGCAAGCACAAAATGTTTTTAAGTGACTTAGTTTACATACATAAAACATTTTCACAGAAAATCATGTATTCATAGTAAAATACTCAAATTAATACGACCAAATTTTTAGGCTTAAATGTCACAATTTGCTTTCAAATTCATTACCAGCTTGGCCTAACAGCTTGGGTAACCTTCTAAGAGTTAGTCTTTGTAAAATAAATAGGTAGGTATGTAAATATGGTATTTAACCTTACATACCTCTTTCCAGCTTCCCAGAAAGAAGATATACTGATTTAGCTTTTACAAATGTGTAAGGAGGTCCAACCAGAAAGAGTTTCTAGCCTTTGCTATATAATGTGGATACATACCAAAGTATACGGCAAAATACTTTCAGCAAAATGTTTGCTATGGTTCTCTATATGTACATTTGAAAACCTAAGATCAGTGTCCAACTGTCTTTGGTGACGTTTACTGAAATCTACATTATAGCTGTTAGTTTTATCTTCTTTTTAAATCTTTTACAAGAGCTTTTTACCTTTTGTAACCTTTTACAGAGCTGCTAATAATTTCTAAAATTTTTCCCTGTTTTATTTCCCCCCTACCTTCCCTTTTTTTGTAACAGGTGACTGTAGATACTAACCAGAAGGTGAGATACAAGGGACTTGATATTCTAGAAACCATATAATCAGCTCCCGAATCATATAGCTAACCATGTAGTTAAAATAATAGTCTATCTCTCTTTAGTTGTTACGTCACGTTTGTGTTTAAACTATAGTTAATAAACTTTAACTGTATTTTTTGAGATTTATAGAATCTGCATGAATTTTCATAATGAAATAAGTATTTTTATCTTCACTTGGACAGTTTTAGTGACCAAAAGTTATATGGATAAAACTACTTAACCAAAGCGTTAATGTGTTTGGAATGAAATTTTTCAGTGCTAATATTTGAAATTGAAATGGATACACTGAATATTCTTAGTAATCTTTATTCCTAGAATCCAGTTCTCAGTGTCACCAAACTGAGTTGTGAAATAGTCCTGGGATTTTAGGAAATAAGAAGATTGGCTAATAGGATATATTTTGCTTTCATAGTGCCAGAGAATGACCTAAAGACAAGCTAGTCGGGGTTCTCAGTATTCCCTGTATTTGAGTAGTGGAGGTAGGTCTGAGGATTACCTTTCATATTTTACTTCTAAATGTGTGCCAGAAAAGTCTCTTATTCTAAAGTTCTTGATACTTGGAGCTTTAAGCCTTGAAATTAAAAAAAAAAAAAAGACTTGCATTGTAAATTGTACCTCAAATTTGAGAAATTTTTGTATTGCTGTAAATATAAGTAAAGGCAGTTCACACTAGCGCAGTGTAATACTGTAGACCAGTTCCATCAAACACTATAAATATCAATTTTAAATAAAAGAAGAAAAGGAAAAGCCTCATTACTGGAGTGTGAAGTGAAAGAACTATTTTAAAGCAAAAAAGAGAGGGAAATGGAACTCACTAGGGATATCCCTGAGCAAAGAAAGTTCTTTAAAGTAATAGTGAATTGTTTTAAAATTAAGTGGCCCACCGACTACCATCTCAAACGCCTTTCTCATTGATTTCTTTAGTTTCTGCTTTTGGGATATTGTCCACATCCCTCCATAATGAAGGGCCAGCAAGCAATAGGATTTTTTTTTTTTAAGCCAACTTTGCACTTTCCAAAGGGAGAAAGTAATACCTCATTAACCTGGAATTTGTGGTACAGTCTTGGTTAATGTTTATCTTTCACTATGTAAAAAAAGAAAAAACACAAAACAGATAATTACTGCAGATAAATTTGATCTTTTAAAGCATTTTATAGAAAAAAATATTCTAAATAATAACCTTTGTAGACAAAACTATATCAGTTATAGTATGTGTATATAAAATTAGTTAAGCTGCACTTTTTTAGAAATACCTAACTTTTACCTAAAAGAGTCCCTTTCTTCTTATCCAAAATAGAGATTTTATTATGGCTGTATCAATACTACTCCCCATTTAGTCCAAAATAGTGAGCTTTCAATACTGAGCTGGGCATTTAACAACAGTAAAGGCTATCTGCAATACACAGTTCTGATTTCCTCTTTATAGAAGAGACATAATTGACGTTCACTGTGTCTGCATTAACACTATACTCTGTAACATTAATGTGATGAATTTAATAGCATCCAGTTTTGTATTTTCATTAGAGTCGTGATTCTTTTAAAGGTAGCAGTGTCTTCAGTTGTGCTCAGAAAAGTATGTGCCTTAAATCCTCCACTCTACGCGCAAAGTTTGGGAACTTTGTCATTTAATAAGTTGTGAGAGTCTTGTCATCCTTTGCATTTGACTTGAGGGAGAAAAACTGTGATTTTGAGGGATTCCTTTCACCTCATGTCTGTGAATCTCGGGCTTCTGGAGAGGGAATCCCAATTATGCATCCTCGCAGAAAGTCAAAGCCATAAGGATAATGTACCCTGAAATAAAATCAGTGAAAAGGTATGTTCTCTTTTATTTTATAAAGAAAATTTATCTGCTACCACTAAGGGGTGATAGCAGTTCCTAACCAACTTCATATTAATGACATCATATAAAGATATTATTGCCATCAGGCCTAGCATATTTTGTGAGTGGCTTCTCTATAATACTACGTTGAAGGGGGGGTGTATTTTTTAATATTTTTGCATGTATATATCTTCATTCTTTTTTCTTCTCCTTGGTCCATATTTGCCAACATCATGTAGAAAATAACAGTTCACTAACAACACACATTTCACATTATTAAACATTTTCAGGGTAATATTGATTTGGGTGCTACTAGACTTATCTAATATTGATCTGTCTCAATTTATCACAAGAGACAGCATTTAACCTTGTAAATATTCAAATGTACTTAGTTTAATGAAGATTTTTTAATATACCATCATACCAGAAAGCCATGGTTTCTGGAGAGACTGACTGCATTCACCAGAACTTATTTCTTCCTTTTTTGTGAATAAATTGGATAAAATTGTTTTATTCTAAATTCCAGTCAGGGCAAGAAACTAGAATAAGATTGACATCTCTACTGCTGGTACTACAAAAACATCACTAAATTGGGTTAATACTTCTGTCTGCAACTGATGTTTTTAGAGACTCCTTTCACTAACTTAAATAGTTGTCATTGATGTATTATTGGAAAGGAATATTAAACTCAGTGATCCCTTTACAACAATCATGGAGAGACCTCTGTGCCTGCAGTTGGTGTTTATTGCATTTCTGAGCCCACTTTGTATTCATGAGAAAAAAAAACATAATGGGGGGAATATTTTAAATAATCAGTATTTTAACTTTTTATAAAGTTTGGGACTTTAAAGTATAAATAAAGGATGTTGAAAATCATGTACTTTGGTCAAATTACTTTTTATCTGATTTTAAAATTTTCTGTATTTGAAATCTCATGAATTAGGAGTATCTATATAGGTATATATAGATATTTAAAACTTAATGGTAACAATAAATGTAATTCAGCAACATGATTCAATAATTAAATTTTATTTTCAGGACAAGATACAGTTCATTGCATCAAATTTGTAAGTTACCTTGTAATGGTAAATGCTCTAAAAAGACTGTTTAAGCTACTTCAATTATTCCCCCAGGACACACAAAAGAATGTGATCTTGTATTAACTAACCCCCTGTGTGAATTTTTCTGTATCAAACATTGTGCTGTATTGTATTAAAAGTGTGTTGTTGGAATTTGATTCTATACTCTGGAAAAGTAATCGTATTTTAGTTTTAATTGACAAGCATTTATTTTTTAAAAAAACTAAAATCCTTGTAATGTTGATATTTGCCTGATTACTTGCTGTACATGAATACATACATTAAGCATATAGCAACATTTACTCTCTATGCTAGTTGCAAGGGATAAAAGATGAATNAAAATTTTCTGTATTTGAAATCTCATGAATTAGGAGTATCTATATAGGTACTCCTATACCAGATCCCTTTCTACTAGAGTTCCTTCTGCTTCCACAGTCTTAAAAGATTTATGAACACATACTCTAATAAGAAACCAGGTCACCCTAGCCATTTGGCTCAGTGGTTAGAGTGTCGGCCCACGGACTGCAGAGTCATGGGTTTGATTCCAGCCAAGGGCATGTACCTCAGTTGAAGGCTCAATCCGGCCCCAGTCAGGGTGGGTGCGGGAGGCAACCAATCATTGTGTCTCTCTCACATCAATGTTTCTCTTTCTCTCCCATCCACTCCCTCTGAAAAGCGATGGAAAAAATATGCTCCAGTGAGGATTAAAAAAAAAACAAAAAGGTCATTTTGCTAATTAAGATCAGTTATTTCTTGCATTTAGTCCATAATCAAACAGTTTTAACAAAAAGTAGCATAGTACTAATTTAGCAACAATATTATAGTATTTAGTATTCTTTAGTGCCATTATTTCAGTGAATCTAGAAACCTGAAACATTTTTCTAGATTTCAAAATTTGAAAGAATATTGTGGTTGGTTAAGAGTTCAGGTAAAATAGAGTGGGTAGGAAAGACGCACTCTTTGCAAAACAGCTAATGTTTCAAATTTGCTGAGGTGGAAAAAGCTCAATACTTCCCTGGTTAATATATAGGAAAGCTTCTTAGTGAAGACAGGCTCAGAACTGTGAGAGCACAAGAGAAAAAACATTGGGTGTAACTAATCTCTCTTCTTTCTTGAGGATAAAACTGTGCCCTAATCTGCCCAATTGGGGATGTTCTCTTTAAAACAAGTATCAGGCCCTGCCGGGCGTGGCTCAGCGGTTGGGCATGGACCTAGGATCCTGGAGATTGAGGTTCGATTCCTGGTCAGGGCGCATGCCCTGGCTGTGGGCTCGATCCCCAGTGACTCTCTTGTCATTGATGTTTCTGTCTCTCGCTCTCTCCCTCTCCTTTCCTCTCTCTGAAATCAATAAAGATGTATTTAAAAAAATAAATAAAACAAGTATCAGAAGAAAATGCTCTTTAATGGCTTATCTAATTCTGTAGAAACGAAATAGGAAGCCACACTTTTCAGGGGATATGTGAGACTTGGATGTGTCCTATCACATCAGTTCTGCCAGTTTTATGAAAAATTCCATCAGCATTCCCTAGAATGTTAGAGCTAGAAGAAACTTTAAAGGTCTGAAATTGAGTCACTCTGAGAGGAAAAAATTTAAGCCCAGGGAGACTTGTCCAAGACTTCACATGGCTGAATTTTGAACCCAAGCCTCTGCATCCCACTTCAGTGCTGTTTGCACGGTAGTATTCCCCTTTATTTTCTACTCTATTCTGTGACAGGAAATCAGTAGCAGTATTGATACTGTACTGTAAAATAATAGGTCAACTGGCATCAAAGTGATGCTGTCTGCACTACACGTCAGTGTTCAGAATTTAGATGTTGGGAAACAGAAGAGTAAACATCTGGCCCTAGCCAGTTTGGCTCAGTGTTAGAGCATTGGCCTGGGGACTGAAGCCTTGCGCAGGTTGGATTCCAGTCAAGGGCACGAATCTCGGTTGCAGCCCCTGGCCCTGGTCAGGGCACATGCATGAGACAACCAATGGATGTGTCTCACATCGATGTTTCTCTCTGTCTCTCCCCATCCTTTCCATTTTCTCAAAAAATCAATGGAAAAAATATCCTCAGGTGAGGATTAACAAGAAAAAACAGTAAACATCTGGGTAGCTCTACTGTTTACAAAGCACATTCAAAAACCTACCTTATTTAATCCTCATGACACTGTGAGGTAGGACTAGATTTGGTAAAGTTTGTTGGTATGTTTTATCACACTCTTCCTCCTCTGAATTTGAAATCAAGAAATTGACATAGACTGGAGAAAAGGATCTAAATGTCAGCTTTATCAAATAATTGAGCTGCTTATATTCTACTTAAATTGAACACAACCAACCAAATCACAGATTCCCCTGCAGGGGCTGCCTACCCCTAGATGGCATCCTACAAGACTGACCAGAACACACTACAAATCCAGCGGAGATCAGGTCAAATCTTAAACCCTGGAGTGCTGCCCAATAGAGAAACCTGGAACAATTATCATCAGACTTTGGCCATCGAAGTAGATGAATTCGTTTTCACAGGGAGGAGAAAGAAACTAGAAAGATTTCTTCTGGGCAGCTGTTCTCAACCCTAGTTGTGCAATAGAATCACCAGGGGAACTTTCAAAATATTCAAATGCCTGGGCCCCATCCCCAAACCAGTCGAAACCTGATCTCGAGATGGAGTCTGGGCATCAGTAGTTGTACAAGCTCCCCTAGGTTGCCCAGCAAGGGTGATAATTCTTTAGGGAAAGTCATCTGTCTTGGTAACTTGAAGTCAGTGGACTAGGGTTTTAACAGATAAAGAAATGGGCCCAAAGTGATGAAGTAACTTGCCAAAGTAAGTTCTCTTAGATAGTGACAGAGCCGGGCTTAGAATCCATTCATCTATTTTTAAAAATTAATTTTTTAATTGAATTCCTACTTTAGACCAGGCACTGATTGTAAATTCAATGTTCAGTCACTTTTTCCTGAACTGAAAGTGTTTTGAATATGTAAGATGATACATTCAAGCCGATTGTCCATGTTGAAGCCAATTGCAACTAAGAGTATCTGCTGAATCATTGGTCACAAAAGCAGCAAACAAATCAGCTTGACTAGGAACATTCGTGAAACGCTGGCTTGGTCAAATGTTTCAGATTTAACCTTTCCATGGGTGAGGAAGACCCCGTCTGGTTCCACTGGCCACAGATAAACACATGACTAACATCCTAAGCAGCAATGATAAACAAGTTGACATTACCAAGAAAGATAACAAACGTAGACGTCTGCCTAGAAGAAAACACTATAGTTAATCATTAAACAAATTTCCAGAATAGGAAACAGTAAGAAAAGTTCAACACTACACATAGTATTCTACATAATTTCTATCCCAGTTTCTTTTAAATGTAGCTATGGGACTGTACGATTATTTTACTGCTTATATCTGAGTAATCATTCTTAAGACCTCTGTAAATATATGGAAGATTTAAATGGAAAAGTAAACCTGTTCATGAAACCATGGAAACTCATGAAAAAGAAAATATTCTTAAAATGTTACTATGGATATTTTCTTCCTGCAAATAAAGACTAGATTTAAAATGTTGCTTGGGGAGTTTTAAAAGCTAACCTAAAGATATGTGAAATAAGTTTAACTTCTTGGAAATTAAGCATATGTTATAGCTAGAAAGCATCTACAATTTTAAAATTTTGTCCTTATTAATTTTAAGCTTTGTAACCTTGACAATGACCTTCGAGGCTCTTCTTAACTTTAAGAGTCTACAATTATCTGTACTTAAAACTCCTTTCTGTTTTTGTAGCTCTAAAATATTTCTAAGTTCTTGCATCACTCACCACACCCTTTTTAGTCAACTCTGTTGAGGTGTCTTAATCTTTCCTCCTAAGCACGTGCAGCCAGGGGCAGAGTTTGTGGCATAGTGAGAACTTTGTCCCTGAATCTGCAATTAAAATTCTACCCTTTACATCACTTCCCAGGGTTTGTTGTAGTGGATAACACGTCAATGGGCAGCTTTGAAACAATCTGTTTTTTATTTCTGCTGAGGACAGCACCTCATAAAAGAAAGGCATGTGTGTAGTTGACCAATGGATGAGAATGAATCAGATGATTACTAGATGCCTATGACTTTTGCTGTGGTGTAACTTTAATTACATTTAACCCTGGCCTGCTGTAGGAATTTTTCTCTGGTTCTTAAGTGATCTCAGAATCAAATATTTAGCAGCAAGAGTTTGAGAAGTAATCATCACACCACTTTACGCAAGAGGACAACTCAACCATCAGGGAGAGATCTATTTTTAAATACCCCAGAGAAGACTTTTGCTTCTTTTTTTTTTAAGATTTTTACTTCTATTATGTATGTATGTATATATGTATGTATTTTTGTTAATCCTCACTGGAGGATATTCTTTCCATTGATTTTTCTAGAGAGAGTAGAATGGAGGGGGAGAGACAGAGAGAAACATTCATTCATGTGAGAGAGACATCCATCAGTTGCCTCCCTCACTCTCCCCAGCCTGCAACCCAGGTAGGTAGGTGCCTTTGACCAGGAATCGAACCTGCGAGCCTTCAATCCCCAGGCTGAAGCTCTAACCACTAGCTAAACTGGCCAAATTGCTATTTCTTTAGCAATTCTGAGGTTTAACAATTGTCACTAGAGGAAGTATTTCTTAAGGCTCTTGTGATTTGTGCTAGCCAGATTACATATGGAGCCAACTTTTAAATTATTGATGTCAGCAGAGAGGCACAATTACACTAGTAAGACATTATATTGTGTGCGTGTGCGTGTGCGTGTGTATGCACACATGCACATATGCACTATCCATTATATGGTTTTTGTGCCTTTGGCATCAAAATGTTGCTGTTCCCTTCCTCTTGGTATTTTTGTCTCTGTCCTTTCTCCCAACCCAAAACTCCTCCTGCACTATAAAAGTCAATGCACAGGGGAGTCACACTTCCAACAGTTTCTACCTTGTTTTTGTACAACTCCTATTAGGAAGAGAAAAATGAGAGAACAGTAGGGTCACAGCTCTGGTTGAAACAAATAATATAAGAAGTGAACATCAAGATGTGATAAGTTGAGAAAGAATTCTTTTTTTAAAAAATACATCTTTATTGATTCCAGAGAGAGGAAAGGAAAGGGAGAGAGAGAGATAGAAACATCAATGATGAGAGAGTCATTGATCGAGCCCGCAACCCGGGCACATGCCCTGACCGGGGATCGAACCCTGATCACCTGGATCCCAGGTCGATGCTCAACCGCTGAGCCACGCCCGGCCGG